CAGGGATTGGCCTGTGTCACACTGATTCCCTTGGGGTCAGGTATTGGCCTGTGTCACACTGATTCCTTGGGGACAGGGATTGGCCTGTGTCACACTGATCATTTGAGTTGGGGTAGGGTGGGTCCTGGGTTCCCAGTCCCTAATCTTAGGCTCTTTTTGTGGCTTTGTGATTTTTTTTGGAGAGCCACTTCCTTTGTCACCGTTCTCATTCCTACCCTTCTACCTTTCAGGGTCAATGAAGTTAGAAAAGTATCAAGAAAAATCAGTGCTTTGCTCCCCCGCCAAGGAGTCAGGGGACCTGGCCCGCTGGCCGCCTGTGACCAGGGACCCTGGGTTGGCTTTGGTCTCCTTGTTATCAGGCAACATTTCTCTGTTGAAGCTGTTTGGGGTCACATCTACCTCCTCTGCCATTTTTGGCCTAGTGACATGTTTAGCTTTATATCAGAGCTACGTTTGGTAGGCTGAACTTTGATTTTTGTTTTATAAAGTCTGAAAATTCTGCCTAAATGCTAACGTTTCATTTGAAAAGCCACCTGAGGGGCTGGAGGGTTTGAGTTGATCCTAATAGCCTACTGCTTGTTTGAATTCACCCCATCCTCAGCATCATATCAAATGCAGGTAAAATGGTGATGAAACTTGCCGAACTTAGATTTCTCAAAGTTGTTTCCCAGCCCTCTCTATGCCCAGTGCCTGCCCTTGTCTGTTGGGAATGTGCCTTCCCCTGAGCTTGCTCCCTCTGGTTCTCACATCTGCAAATCATGGTCCTTCCTGAAGGCTGGTGGTTGCAGGAGCTTGGAGGGCTAGGAGGAGGGAAGGATGCTATGTCTGTTCTCACAAATGCCTTGGCCAGCCTATCCTGAACGTTCTAGAGTGATCTTTGTCCTAGAGACCTATGCTCCCAGGGCCTATAGCACACACACGGTGCTTGCATATGCGCCCTCTTAGAAGTCTGCTTAAATATCAAATAAGTTTAATCTGACAACTGAAGTAACACCTTTGATCTCGTTCATTTGTTGGAGAAATATAGTGTCCATTTGACTGGCTTTCCTGGGATCTAGTAAAAATGATGGATGTTAAAGTCCATATTGCTACACCCAAGCAAGTAGCTTTCTTCATGTTGATGCTGGGATGTTAGTCAAGGAAAACCAGACTGAATGGCTGGTTAGAATCTACAGAAATGGCCCTGTCCTCCCAGTTGAGAAGCAAACAGTAAATACTTGGTTCTGTCAGCAAACATCTGACTTAGGAGTCAACTGAACTGTTCTTCTGTCTTTTGTTTAAGATAATCCTTTCTTTTGGAATTTTACCAAAGATAATAAAGCTTACTTAGCAAGAAACTATGGCAGTGCTTGGGCATTCAATGGAGGCTAATAGTGCCTTTGTCTAGATTAAACAGTTGAGTTGTGGCTCACCGAGCAATGGGAGGATACTCTGGCAAGCATATGCTGTTTAAAAGAACACTTTGCCCCAGGACTGACAATACACACCTAAAGCCCAGCACTGGTAAGCCAAGGCAGGAGTGCCAGAGTTTGAGAACCACAGGGCGACCTAATGAGCTGCAGGCCAGTTTCGGGCCAGCACCGGGGCCACTCCTAGCCCCATCTCAGAATAAACATACGCATGGATGCTTTGCAGACAGTTCTTCCTTTTAATTTTAGGAAACAGATATTGACGACAGGTATGGAGATCTCGACGCCAGAGGGGATTCTGATGTTCCTGAGATCCCACCATCCTCAGACAGGACCCCCGAGATCCTCAAGAAAGCCCTGTCTGGACTGTCTTCAAGGTATGGTGGGTGAAGACAAGTTTGTCTTGCTGTCTAGCACAAGCGCACATTTCAGGGTTATCCTGGTGCGTCCATGCATCCCGTTTGGCTCTTTGTGAGTTTGGGACCCATGGGAGCAGAAGGCTGTAATGAAGGACGATCTGAAGTGCTTCATTAGTGCCCGTATGTGCCTGTTAGACTGTGTGCGGTGGGAGAGAACAAAGTCTGATAGGTTGGCTGGTGAAGGTTACAGAAGCAGCACAGGCTCCTAGATTTCCTCGTAATGCGATGCCTCATAATGAAAATCATATATTGTGTGTTCTTCAAATGCGAGAAAAAAAAAGAAGTAATTTTTATCGTTTTCTTTCTTTCTTTTTTTTTAAAGATTTATTTATTTATTATGTACACAACATTCCTTCCATGTATGCTTGCAGGCCAGAAGAGGGCACCAGATCTCATTACAGATGGTTGTGAGCCACCATGTGGTTGCTGGGAATTGAACTCAGGACCTCTGGAAGAGCAGTCAGTGCTCTTAACCTCTGAGCCATCTCTCCAGCCCCCATATCGTTTTCTTTGATGATTGGTGTTGTTGTGGGTGGGATGTACATATGTGTGTGCATATGATGTATATGTTCTCGTGGAAGTGTCCATGTGTGTGCATGTGTGTGTACAGGCCAGAGGTCAGCATCAGGTGTCTGACTTGGTTATTGTTTGAGATAGGATCTCTCTCACAGAGCGCATTGATTTGACCAGCATGCCTCCCCTCCCCCACTGCCTCCCCCTCCCCCTTGCCCCACCCCCTACTGCCCCCAAGCTGTGTGCTACTAGACTTGGCTTTAACAAGGGTGCTGGGGTCCCATTCAGGCGCTCATGCTCATGCAGTAGGGGCTTTGTGGCCTGAGCCATCTCCCAACCTCCAGAATTCTTTCTTTAACTGAATCTAAAATCATGGTCTCAAACTCAACAATGCTTTACTGTTTTGTATTTGTATTATTTTAAGGTGTTTATGACCATGGGATTTCAGCTATGTCTATCTTAGCCTGCGCCAGATACTTTGGTAATCTGAATTATAAAATGTATAAAATTGAAGGAAGCATTAAGTTTCATCCAGGTTACCATGAGAAGTGTTAGTTACATGCTGGCAATGTTCACCAGCATCTTTTTCCTACCCTACCAGGAAGAGATGTGTTTTGTATCACATCCTAAGAGGCACAGACACAAAAATGCTCCTAAGGTTTGTGCTGTTATTTTATATGATACCCTCTGATTTCCTTCTGCTTGCTGCTGGTCTTTGGTACTGAAAAATAAACAATGGGCGTTTCTCCTGATGGGTCACACCACCTCTGATCTAGTCATGGATTAAAGGCAACCAGAGATTCCTTGTGTTGGGCAATAACCATTCTGAGGATATATTGGTTTCTCAGTTAACCATTTTAAAGTTAGGGCTATTGGTACCTCTGATGGTTTATCAATGGCTTTGTGTTCTTGTACAGCCCGAATGTCTGGTATCTGTTGTCTATAATATCTTCTAATATTTTCCTCAGAAACGTAAGTTTTTGGGGCTGCAGGAATGATAGTCTGGGTATTCCATTGCTGCAATAGGTCATGACCCCACAAATTCACTGCAATATTGGCTATATATGGCCTTAGTCTTCCTCTTTTCCCTTCTAGCTCTATGAAGTCAACCCATACTGTGCTTTGTTTTTCCTGAGATAGGGTTCCAATTCCCAGGAGCTGAGCATCTACCTCCTGAAGAGACCAATTCGGATGCCAAGATTCTGGAGTAATGATACTTACATCCACACCCATGTTTAATAAACCTTCAATAAAAATGCCATTTATCCACACTCTTAGCTTTGGTTTCTGATCATTTATAGAAGTCTGCCAGAATATACGTTCCCTATGTCCTACTGAAGTTTTTGACCCAAGCTCCACATTTAACCCATCATTCAGACCTGTCTTGTTAAAAGCAGGCTTTGGATTTTTAGTTTTCCTGGTGAGACACATTCTCCACAGTAACTGGGAATGACTGGACCACATTCATCATGGGGGCCTGCGAGAGACCCCTCAAGGAGTTTCTCGATGGTATCAGGTTTCCTTGTCTATCTTTTGTTGACCTACATTCATTGGTCCAATGTTGGCATTTGCCACACCTACATATACCTGAAGGTTGAGTCCTCCTATTTCTGCCATTCTCAGAGGTGACATTATTCCTAGGAATCCCTTGTCCACAATCCCTTCTCAGATGTCCCATTCTTCCACAATTAAAACATCTGGTATTCTGATGTCTTCTTTTACCATTGGAATTTGCTTCTCCTACCCTTGCTTCAATACCATAATTAAATGTCTTGACATTCATTGTATACAAGGCCCATTCATCCATGGGTGCTAATCTGATCTTTAAAGGCACAAGGATCCTTTTGGATTCTATGTTGGCATTCTCATAAGCCAAAAATTCAATTATTATACATCTAGCTTCTGGGTCAGTTACCCCTATTTGTACAGCCCTAGTTAGTCTTTGTAAAAAGTCACTAAAAGCTTCTTTCTGACTCTGTTTAACCCTAAGATATGATTCAACCTTCTTTCCTGGTTCCTGAATCCTGTCCCAAGCCTTTAAGGCTGCTGTGCTACATAGTGACAAGGTGTATTCATCATGAACAGCTTGATCCTGAGGATCAGAGTAAAGTCCGTCCTCCAGATGTGGACAGTACTCCTTTCTGGATGTAGCCTGTGCTCCTTCCTCCTGGATGTAGACAGTGCTTCTTCCTGGATGTGAACAGTGTTCCTTCCTCCTGGAATGTGGACAGTGCTCCTTCCTCCTGGATGTAGATGTGCTCCTTCCTCTGGGATGTGAACAGTGCTTCTTCCTCCTGGATATAGACAATGCTCCTTCTTCCTGTGTTGGAGGAGGGTTATCTGTATATGTGTTACTTTCATTGGTTAATAAAGAGACTGCCTTGACCCTTTGATAGGACAGAAAATTAGGTAGGTGGAGTAGACAGAACAGAATGCTGGGAAGAGGGCAAGAGGCAGACGCCATGGAGCCAGCCACCAGGTCAGACATGCTGAATCTTTCCCGGTAAGCCTCCACCTCGTGGTGCTACGCAGACTATTAGAAATGGGTTAATCAAGATGTGAGAGTTAGCCAGTAACTACCTCTCTAGAGATAATGAGCCAGGCAGTGTTTAAATGAATACAATTTGTGTGTTGTTATTTCCGAGGCTAAGCTAGCCATGCGGGAGCTGGGCGGGATGAAAAGCAGGCCTGCCCGCAGCTCCCTCACTACAGATGGTGCCCAAGTGGATTACTGAATCTACAGAAAGCTTAAGAAAGCTTGGAAAAGAATAGAGTAAAGCATGTATTTTTGGTAGCAGCAATTTCTCAGGTCTGCTCTGTTTGCTAGAGGCAAGCAGGTGCTCTCATCTAAGAGAGGCTTCCTGACTCAGCTTTAGCTGCAAAACCCTGCAGCTCGTTTAAGAGGTTCTGCCATGAAACACTTAAATGGTGTTGATGAAAAGTTGAACGCATGCTTTTCAGTTTTCAGCCATAGCAGGAAAAAAGCTGTGCTATTTTAAAATGCTGCCTGTCCTACCAGGGCAAACTCTGACTCTTTCAGACAGGCAGTCCAACTGAGTGTGATCTGTGAGCAGAATGCTGCAGCTTGCTTGCTGGCAGGAACCTTGAAACGCCATAGAGTTGTGGCAGTAAAAATGGCTGCAGCCGGTACCTCTGCCCTGAGGCTGTAAAGCTAAGGAATGGACTGAATCTAGCCATCAAAGCCACAGTTTTAATCCTCTCCAAAAAGACTCATGTAGTCAGAAAGAGAGATATACAGTAAAGAGAGATTCAAAGACGAAGAAAACCTCTAAATGGTTTACAGTGTGTTAAAAATACATGCAGACTAAAGGTTAAAGTTCTTAAAAGTAAAAAAAGAAAGAGAGTGTTTGGGTGTGGTGGCACACACCTTTAATCCCAATGCCTGGGAGGCAGAGACAGACAGATCTCTGAGTTCAAGGTGTGGTAGCACACACCTTTAATCCTAGCACTGGGGAGGCAGAGACAGGTGGATCTCTGTGAGTTCAAGGACAGCCTGGTCTACAGTTATTCCAGGACAAAGTTATACAGAGAACCTGTCTCAAAAAGTAAAAGTAAAAATAAAAGAAATAGAGGTTAAAATAAAGCCACATAAAGGTGGAAAATACACAGAGAATCTTGATACTGTATGCTATTATGCTCTCTTTGAATTGTTTGAATGCTGAGGAAGGAGCAACAGCTGCTAAAAAAATTTGTTTATAAATGCTGCTGAACTAATCCAAGATAGATATTTTGAAAAAACCTTGACTTCAAAATTTGGATCTAAAGTTATGATGCTTTGGAAAAGTCCTTCTTTTGTTTTCACAGAGGATGAGACCCTGTGGATTGCTTCTATCCCAATATGGTATGATAGATCATGCCCTCCTGAAAGGTTGCTGTGAACACCCTCAAAAAATTACTTCACTCAGCTGCCAACTGAGATGAACCTGGCACACAGGTTACACCATGAAAGACCTGATTAACAGCGCCCCTATTCAGCATGAAACAGTTTGGAGAGAAAAAACTGTGCCCATGTTCTCAAATATTGTTTATAAATGCTCTTTTACATTTAAAGGGGGATATGATATAGATATGAATAATTTACAATGGTATGGATTTTACTTTAGTGATATACATTTATGGTCAATTTTGCTATATGTATATGTATTTCTGATCTTGATTAAGGCATTGTGATTGTGTAGCTCATTTAGAAATGTAATATATAATTAAGAAATATAGGTTGTTAATGGATAATCATTAATAATAGCCAAGCTTGTAATCATGTTAGTTAGATTTTCTAGTTATATAGAGATATATTTCAGTTAGATAGGCATTCTTCATATCTTTCAAAGACTACAGAATATGGCATTTTAAATGTTCTAATAACTTAGGGCTGTTCATGACACATCTGAGACACATCTGCTCCTGGCAGCACCAATCTACTTCAA